ACCATTATGGTTACCGCCAAAAAAAAAACGGAGGTAAAAAAAACAAACGATAACCTGGTTGCCGAGTTCACGACGTGAATGGGCTTGTTTTACAACGTCGTTGCCAAGCGACGAAAACCCAATCCCGATGGCAAACACCGGCAGCCATTTTCGGGAAGGAGAAAAAAACGGGCATCCCTCCGGGGGATGAGTAGCCAAGATCGGGTGCACCCGGAGCAAAGGCGCCAAGGTCGGGTAGGAGTGGGCGTCGGCCAATCAGATGGTGTCATGCGGTCGTTCCCAGCAGCGTCTTGTAGGGGTACCCGATTATGGCTGTGTTTGGACCGAGTTTAACCGATTTTGGCCGCTGCTCTTTTTATTTCTTTGTCTGATTTATCAATGTGTTGATCGATTCACCGTCTCTTTGCCATGTGCAGTTACACCCAGTATTACTAAATGATGGGTGGCGGTTATTTACAATTTAGCTGCCTCTATGTTTCCAACACCACAATCACAGGTGCCTCAATTTCTATGGCAACGTTGAGACCAACCGGGCGAAGATTCCACTCAATGTCAAGAGGAAAGTTTGGGAAATGTAGCTCTGGTCTTCCCCACCTCCTGTGTGCCTACACTCACTTGTAGGTAGACTTACGGGTGTTTGGGTAGACTTGTTTTGTGTTGTCATTGTTAGATGCCTCGACGCGCCATTGGCGAGTGACTATTTGCCTGTCCGTATGATGACGTTTTTTTTTTTTTACCCTGCTGGTTTAATTGTCAGATACCTCGACCTGCCGCTGCCGTACGACGTGGAAGACGACTCCAAGTGCTCGGCTGTCCGCGACAAGTCGGGCCTGCTCAAGATCACGATGCCGGTCAAGCAACCCGCTGCACCGCCGTTAACCGTACCACCACCACTACCGGCGGCGGCGACGGCGAGGGTTTGCAGTGATGGAGGCCGGGGTGGTGCCGCCGCTGCCACCGATATCGATGGCGTTTCTGAGGAGCACAAGGTACTATGACGGCCTTTAACGGCCTTGAAACACTGGTTGAAAAAATGCCAGCGCCGTATTCCTTTAGATGCCTACGTTTTGCCAAAGGCGAGATGTAGGGGAAGGCGACGCTGGGAAAAGTTGCGCACTAAAGCAGTAGCCAGGCGGGGGGAATATGTAGCGAGGGGGAAGTGGCTCACGGGCAATTCGCTGTCAAATCCGAATGTTCGCTTGTGTTGAGTTTCGGGGCGTTGGTGCTTTGGCGCTCCCGTTCGTGGAGACGGGGTCCTCTCGCTTACATACCCTGTTGTGCGAGCGAGTCGACGGGTGATCTCAATGAACAGCCCGTCGCGGGGAGTGGCGCGTGTGGCAGCCGTGCCGTATGTACCATGAGTATACCGCGTGTTTTTGGCCTTGTACGATCACGTTGTTGGATTTTTGTGGTTGTATTTTTAGGTCGATCTTGCTGATGCCCCCTCGCTCTCGCTCTCTCGAGTGCCTACCCGGCTTTCACTGCCGTTGCTTCCGCCACGGCCGCCTCCGCCCTCTGACAGTCCTTGCTGTCTTGGACTCTTGTTTTTTCAGAAGCATTCAGACTCTGGGTACTTTTGTGTGCCTTGTCGTGTTCTGTTTTTTTTGTTACCGCGTCTTGTGTGAGTGCGTGTGTGTGACCCACGCAAACACTGCCACAAAGCTTTTCGCCGGCTTCTTAGCTTTTTGTTTGCGTGTGCTTGAGTCTTACCCCTTTGGTTGGGGTTTGTGCGGCGGTGTTTCGTGCCAAGAACCTCCGCCATGTGCGTGTGTGTGTCTTTCGTCAGCATCAACCGCCCTAACCGGCTGACCAATGAAAAAACGTCAGTCTCAATGCCGCTATTAACAAGAAAACCCTCTTAAAGGCCATGATCTGGGGGTCCGGTGAAGGGGCGTCACTGGGGAGGCTAGGCGACTATCCGAAGGCAGTGTGTGTGTGTGTGTGTGTGTGTGTGTGTGTTTCTTCAAATTGCTGTCGGCCGCGCAAAGCTGACCAATGAAAAGGGGTCTGTCCTTTATTGGGAAATAGAACGAGAACGATGTGCTTACTATTATTTTGTGCGTCAAAGGCTTCCCTTTGGGAGGAGCAGAAGGTGCGCGTAGGTAGCACTCTCAAGATCTTTAGACATCTATTCCAAGGTGTAATCCGGAGGACAGCGGGTAGAAATCCCCCTGAGTATCTCACGGCACTTGGCGCTTGGTGATGTGCTATTTTAACCTGGTCCCGTGACATCCCGGCATCTTCAGTCCCGGCTTCGTAGGGGTGCGGCGTCAATGGCCTAGCGACGCATAGCTATGAGTACACACACACACTCCCGAACATCGGTACAGAGAAAATTTAGAGGCGGCGTTTTTTTCTGCCGGGGTTAGCCGCGCGTGTGCAAGCTATACTGCCCAGACGTGGGAATTGGTTTAAGGTGTGTTGGTTGAGACTCTATATTTCTTTTTTTAGTGTCTTTCTTTTTCGACAGGCTGTTCTCGACCAATTCACGACGTGGTGTACTGTTTGTTTCTCTTCTGCTGGTGTTTTTGATTTGTCCTCTGTGCCTCTGGACCAAAATCTCGCCGCGGGTTTGCTGGACGTCGGGTGTGGTGCTGTGTACCATCGTGTGTGCGAACGAGTAAAATATGAACTAAAACCTGGACCCTGCGTGCCTTTCTCGTTGTCTTCTCTGTCGTAGCTGGCGCTCGGCCGATTGGAGGATGGAGTCTGTTGCTGCGTTCCGCGAGAGATATCTGTTTTTGCATTTATGAACGGACATGAGGGTGTGGTGGTGGTGCTTTCGGCCCTATGTGAACACGTCGAGGGGATGGGGCACTAGAAGAGGCTGTCGGGGGCGTCGGACGAGAACCACGCCGATAGCGGGCTCGTGTGTCTCCGGTTGTAGTTGGTGTACACATTTGTTTTTGGTTCACAACTTGTTGTCGGTCAGACACCAGTAGTGTTGTTATTATTGCTGCTGCGGCCTCTCGATCGAAGTTTTTTTTTTTTGTTGAGACGACGAAATCGACCGCAACCCCTTGGGTAGTCGACGTGCGTGGCTTTCTTCCATGGGTTGTACGGCACGGTACGGGTATTGCGATCGATCGGCTATGGTCGCACCCTTGACCGTCATTTGTGCAGCCCTAGGAGGTTCCGGTATAGCCTGGTGTTGCCGAGTGGTCGCGAGGCGCTGGCTAGTGCGCTTGCGCTGCACCTTTTCGTTGGCGTCGTGCTCGTAGTGTGTCCTGTCGCTGCCATCGTCGTCGCCATTTCTTTTCCGATTACCGCCTTCCCAAGTTGTGTGGTTTCATCTGCAAAATATATGCTGCACTTCTCTAGGTGTTTCCAAGACCGGGGTGCTTGAGCTCCATTTTGTGGGCTCATTGAAGCGCACTCCACACTTCCGAGTCCGGTGGTAATTTATGCAACCCGCCCCCGCCCCACCCAAACCCGCGTTTTTAGGAAACCCTCCCCGACGAGGAGTTGAAGCACGACATCACCACAAACAAGGCCGAACAGACGAGTGCATCCCCTGACACGACTCAGCAGGTAGGCACGCTTTTTCAAGTCTAGCGTGGCCGTTTTTGATGAGGATGCGCTTTTTTGAGAGGCGGTGACGGTTTTGAATCCCTCAAAGTCTTCGTCGTTGATTGCACAAGTCACTCCCTGCAAGGTTGAATGACGACCAAAAGCCAGCCTCGTTTTGGCCATGTACGACGTTCCTCTTCAGCCTCGCGTCCGATGTGAGACCTAGCCTTTCGCCGCATTATTCACGATGGATATACCCCCCTCCCAATGCCCCTTGGGCAACTTTGACGGCATGATTTTCGCCACGCACGCTGTACCTTTTGACATATGCTGGCGAGAACTGACTTGTGTGTGTGTCATCCAGCGTATTGGAGGTCGATCTGACTACTCTTAGCACAAGCAACATCCCTCTGTCGTTTAGCCTTTCATCTCTCGGGCGATGCCGAGCATCGAGACACGAAGTGGCCCAACTGCACGTCTGTCGGGGGGTGGTGTAGTGGAGTGCGCCCCGACGCTACATACAGGCACTCCCTAACCATCGACCAAACCTCAACCAAGTATCTGGAACATCGCGTGGTGTTGTGGGAATCCTACGACAGCTAACGCCGTCTGTACGTCTGACGCGAACTGCTTGCAGGCTCCGGCTCGAGGTGTAAAAGGAATTTTCGTGTGACGGTTCGATTTCACTTGTGAGTTAATGCCCAACGACGAGTGTTCGGGACCGACCGGCGAACGCACACAGGCAACATTCCGAGCACAATAGTCTACGCCCACAACCCTTTCAACGACGCCTCGGGACACCAACAAACACGCCAGCCACCACCCTCACCACTGACCCCGAACTTTTGGTGCGAAGTCTGCGTGGACTCCCCCGAGGTGGCCGGTTCCCGATGCCTCATAGTGTGGTCGGCTGCGGAACCCATGGTTTAGGCAACGTGACGTCATAGATGCCACGGCTGACCGATCGTTCCCAGGATCGTTCCTAATGTCTTTGACCGTGCTTGTCCCTCGACGCTCGGAAGGGGCTGCACCTTGATCTCGCACCTAATCCTGAATTTTTGTACCCCAAATCCCCGTCCTCGCTTGTTCACCGAAGTGCAACCCGGACCACTCCCGGTGGGTCGACGAAGCCCCGCAGAGTGAGGTGCTGCAGAAGCCTTGGGAGGCGTTGCCAGCGCCACCGGAGAAGCAAGGGGAAGCGCGCTCACTGCTTCCGACCCCCCCGCCGCCGCCGCTGCCCCCCGGTGCTGCGGAAACGCCGGGGGTCGTTTCACAGCAGCAACACGAGGAGGAGGAAAATGAAGAGGAGGGGCAGCAGGAGCAGCAGCAGGAGCAGCAGCAGCAAGAGGAGGAGGGGAAGGAGGGGGAGGAGCAGCTGCAACAGCAGCAGCAGGAGGAGAAGAAAGAGGAGCAGGAGCAGCAGCAGCAGGAGGAGGCTGAGGAGCAGCAGGAGCAGCGGCGGCGGCGGCGGCAGCAACAGAAGGAGGGAGAGGATAACGGTAAGCGGGTAGACGTTCGTTTCGTCCCGAGACTTTCTCTCGGGGTGCGAATCAAGTCGAGTGCAAACACTAGCTCGAAAAGGAGACGCATTCAGAAGATGTTGTTTCACGTGAAGAAAGCACGTGGATACCACTGTTTACGAGAGCACGACAATTCCGCGAATATGCCCATCACCCAAACTTACATGTGTACGATCGTATCGAAGGAATCGGAGCGCCGCTTGGGCCTCTAGCAAGAAGTTGGTGGTCCCAAGGTTAGTTTCTGATCAAGACAAGAAACCAGACGATGAGTAGACCCACGCCCACCGCCCTCGTTAAACGTTGTTGGCTTGGTCCGGTCCATCAGACCTGGAAGAACAGCTTGCAGAGGATAAGGACAAGCTTTTCATCCAGTCCGAGCGCTTCATCAGGAAGGTGGACGGCTACGAGTTTAAGACTGGAGCCAAGGTGCGCGACACTGCACGCCCGGAGAGGTGCATGACTCGAAACACACACACACACACTTGCTTGTGCTGGTACTTTGGTCTATGCCACAAACTGCCCCGCCATTGCACCTGCGTACTTAGCTTTTTTTTTCGCGCTCTCAAGGGGATATGTGCTCGTCTTGTTATGTGTCCGCGCTTGAAGGTTAAGGCATGGTATTTTCCTGCCGAGCACACACAGGCGACTGCGGTAGCGGGTGTTGGCCTACCTCCCCTGTAGGTCTTTGAATTTGTGCGTAGATTTTGGTGTCGGTGCTGCCCGTTCTTTTCATGCAATCTTTTTTGTACCATATCGTGCATGTGTTCACTTACTGTATGGCCTTGCTGGCCACCTTCGGTCCCGGGACCATGCTAAATATTTCCTGCAGCACATACCTTCCACTGTTCGACAAGCTCAACAGCTCGCTTTCTCTCGATAACTGTACTGCACATGCCTTCGACTGTAAGATAAGCGCATCAGCTTGCTTTCCCTCGATAACACCACCCTGGCCCTCTTCCTCTCCCATTCGAATCGAAGTCCGCGGCAACGGAAGATGAACCTAAGGATGCACACGCGGCGTTGTTTGCTCTATAACCTCGGCCACGTCGAAGCCACTCGCCTGCGTGCCCCCCTCCTTTTTGTCACCTGCGCCCGTGTCTCGTTCATGCTTTCCTCTGCCTGCGACGACCGAATCCACCGCGTCCGCCGCCTGCCGGTGTGGGCTGTGACCGGGCTGGATTCTCTCCGCGTACCGCAGGGCTGCGGGTACTACCGCGACGATTCTCGCAAGAAGGTTCCCCGCATCTCGTGGAACGAGAACATCAAGGTGCGCGCGTTCGAGCAGCACAGCGCCCGATGGGGAAACCCGATATGGCAGTGTGGGTGAAAGATGCTGATGAACGTGACGTGTAGTGCGTGGAATGAGAACGTTGGGGTGGAAATAATACGTGTGTTGATGTAGTTGAAGCATGGAGATGGGGCCAAAGCCCACCACCAACATCATTCCTGTTGTGTCGGGGTTGGCAATAGAGAAATCCACAAAGAGTCTTTGTTGGCGGGCCTTCGGTGGTGAGCGCATCACCATCTTGGGCAAGGCACACGCGGAAAAATTCCGCCTCTCAACACTCGAGTGATGCACGGCCAGTGATAAAATGGACTAGGCAAGCAACCCTCCCCTCTCCCCACTCCGTTCTGCGCCCCCCCCCCCCACCCCCTCGCTCCTCAGACAGTATGCGGTGTCGTGGACGTGCCAAACATCGTGGACGCCTCCGTCTACTACGGTTTCGCCGAGAACAGGATGGTGCTATCGTTCGACGCAGAGACCCGGGGGCAGTCCGACGGTGGAGGCGCGCGGGTGGATCGCTACAGGACGGAGTTGGTCTTGGCGGGAGGCGTAGCCGCGAACAAGGTGAGCCTGGAACTAGCACGCGAAACCGCCGAGCCAACGGTTCTAATGTTTGGTTATCCCCCCACCGTGTGCGGTAGTTCCTTGCATGCAGTGCTCAAGCAGTACCCCCGCAATTCCTCGACCCCTGCATGTGTGGCCCGCTGGCATGGTTGGTAGTTTTTTGCAGGCGGTGCTGACGCACACCCTAGTTTCCACACAACTTCGGTCCCAGCAAGTGTGCGGTAGTGATATCACACCCCCTACAGAATACGACACCCGGAGACATTTCAGGGCTTGCTTGGTTGATTTCTCCGAGGTAATTTTTCTGCGGCAAAACCACGGTAATTACCGTTTCCCGTGATCCCGTGAAAAATAAGAATCACCGTTAACGCCCAACCCGTTAACGAACAAATTGAGTCTTCCCACCACCGTACAACAATTTACTGCGTAAAAATCTCACTTCCCGTGCTTTCGATTGATCGCAGAGTACATTACCGTAAGAACAATTAAGATCCCACCTACCGCACAGAAATAGCTGATGTCGAGTACCTTGGTTGATGCTGCAATCGCGTTGCATGTATGCTATGTACTGGAACGCTAGGTGTTTTATTTGGTATTTTTTGTCTTGCTTGTTCTTTGCTCCTTTGTTGCCTGATTGACAGATTGTGACCAAGGTGTCCATGGGGTGATGTTTCATGTGGGGGCCTGTTGCGTGGGGGTTATTTTCTTGTTTTGTTTGTTGAACCGTTGAATTCCACATCGTTTCTCTGTGTGTGAGGAAGGCGGCGCTTGCTTGTTGCCTGCCCTTTCTGATGATGGCTCAATTGCTTGGCGCAGGGCTGGACTTGCGCCGTCATCTTGAGGCCACGCGAGCCTGTCTGCAGTGAAGTGGATATATGCTGTTTGATTTTCACCGTTGATTTTATGCGACCGGTTTGGTTGACAGACGTCATGCTCGGCAATGTGTGGCGCGCGTTTGTTGTGCGGTGACTACACGCTTAAGGAACACCTGAAAGCAAGCAAGCGAAACAGGGCCCGACGTGCCATGGTGTGGTTGACTGTACAACCTATACGGTGGTGACCAGTTACCGTAGAAAATGCACATTTCTGTGCATTACCGTGTTGGCTGGTCACCGTACAAGAAAATTGCCGTGGTGGCCAGTTACCGCCCAAAAAATACTGTTTTGTACCGTGGTTTCTGGTGAACGCGAGAAATTATGCCGACATGAAAAGACGTTAACGAAGAAAGCCCTGCAAAATTTATTCCCGCGGTGTGGTATCTTGTGTCGTATACGCTTGTTTTTCTCTTCATTAACACCTCCCCGGGCGATTGACGAGGGGAGTATTTGGAATTATGCCGACATGAAAAGCCCCATAACGAAGTAAGCCCTGTAAAATTTATTCCCGCGGTGTGGTGTCTTGTGTCGCATACGCTTGTTTTTCTCTTCATTAACACCTCCCCGGGCGATTGACGAGGGGAGTATTTGGAATTATGCCGACATGAAAAGCCCCATAACGAAGTAAGCCCTGTAAAATTTATTCCCGCGGTGTGGTGTCTTGTGTCGCATACGCTTGTTTTTCTCTTCATTAACACCTCCCCGGGCGATTGACGAGGGGAGTATTTGGAATTATGCCGACATGAAAAGCCCCATAACGAAGTAAGCCCTGTAAAATTTATTCCCGCGGTGTGGTGTCTTGTGTCGCATACGCTTGTTTTTCTCTTCATTAACACCTCCCCGGGCGATTGACGAGGGGAGTATTTGGCGGCATTTTTTTTTTTAATCCCGTGCTTGCGTGTCCCGAACGATTCGATGGAAAATGTTCTTCCAGATCAGATTTTGGTCAGTATCTCGCTCAGTTTTTCGAATGTTGTATTCGGAAAATAATACCCCGGGCACACTCCGAGAGCTGACCAATATCTGTTGAGATAGGAGTAGTCGCGTACGGTAAAGTGCATCCGCCTCAACGAAACGATGAAAAAGATCCCAGTTGTTGTTGGATAAACATCTATTTTCAGTTTAAGAAATCTTCCTTAGAAAGTTGCGCCTGGAGACACGGCATTTAACGGCACCTTTCGATTTCCGAACAATCACCCCTATGCCGAGAAAGGTGTACCTTGGTGCTGGGGAACGTTGGACCATATTGTTGTGCATGGATCACACAGTCTCAATCTGGAAATTTCCACCAAAATGATTGTGCTCCAAGTGTATCACACACGAAGCGACGTGTTCGCAGTGTGTGGCGTGCATGCTGTGTGCTGGTAGGCAAAGATCGAAGTCCCTTGCGGTACGTGAAGGATAGTCGTGCCTACCGAATGTGAAGCGCTCGGTTAGCGGGGATGACCAATCAACACATGGCATGTTCGGTTTGGTTCCTGCATGTGATACGAAACATTGCCTTGGCCGGCGTAAACCATGAATCTCGCTCCTTCCCGGCATTGCAGGGATGCGAGGTGCATGTTCCAACGACTGCTGTACGGCATGCGTTCACATGGGTACCCAAACCCTCGGCCATTTGTAGGTGGGGGGGGGGGGCGGAAACGTGCCCTGGTCTTTTCCCACCAAATCCAGACATTCCACGCGGACGCCAATGTGAATGGAGGATATCGTCGTCAACAGGCGTTGAGCAGATAATGCCGTTTTTCGAGCTCATCCCCGCATGAACATGCCCTCGTTGTGACGTTTTTCAAGCGTTGTTCTTGTCGTTTCCTTGTGGCCAGCAGAGTCACTCCGCACATTCACCAGCAAGTAGCCAAGAGTACTGTACAGGAGTTACATGTGTGGAGAACCACGACGCGACAGTCGCTGGGTGTATGTAGTACGCTGCAGGCTGTTCGGCGGCGGTATTTATGACCGCTCCCGCACAATAGGAAGTACGGTATGGTACGTGCGAAGATTGCGTCTGTGCATGCACACGAGGGCGCTCTCCTGCCGACTTATCGTCTAAACGATAAATTAGACCCCTAACGCGAGACTTGACCACGTGCCGTGCACGGCAAATCGAAAAGCCACCTGAAGTTATATATGTATATATATATTTTTTTTGCTCTCACCATTGGACTCTGTCGTCTGCCCCTCTAGCCCCTATCCTCCACTTCTACTATTATAGCTATACGACCCAACCGGGGTCAGATAGGAGGGGGAGGTTGGACCCCCTCCTGCGGTTCTGCCTGAGATATTTTTGATCTATATATATCGCAGCGTGAGTTTCTTCCACCTGTGATTGATACAATGCCCCTGCCCCGCTGCGGACGACGGCAGGAGCACGACCCAGTGCCGCTGCTGGGTGTGGACGGATCCACATTATTTTATTTTTTTATCCTCTGCTATCCCTTTTTATGTTGTTGGATTCAAGACTAGAAAGACCCGTAGACTGCGTGGTGGAAGTTCCCAAGGTGGTGATATAATCATCCACTATCCGCCCGAGGTCTCCCGACTTCCCGCGGTGCCGGGAGTGGTTCCAAACCGCATGCATACCTACCTTTCATCCACGTGTAAACAGCTTGTAACTCCCCACCTTCCCTCTGTTCCCCTCAGTGCTCCCACGATACTGCCGAAGACAACCTGGTATTGAAGCTGGTCAAGTCCCCCGAGCGCGAATGGGGATTGAACCCTGCCCCGACAAAAGCCACAGAGGTGGCCAGCAAGATCGACGACCTTATAGAAATCGCTGCGGCGGCGGCGGCGGGGCCCCGGGAGGCGGGGGCGGTGGCACGGGGGGGTGTCCAAGAGGAGGGCCCGCCCGCTCCAGGGTACGAGGGTAGCCCGCCGGCACAGGCCGAGGTCCTACGCAATTCGTTGGCGTATGAAATCGAATGAAAAATGTCAAGATCGGCCGAACAGGAAAGCGGAACGTCGTGGCTGTATGTTTCTGTCATGGCCTTTGCGCACCTTGCTCTGTAATAGTCGTATATGTGCATACATGTAGTCGCTGTGTAGTGGTAATAGTTTTACCATGATTCTTAGAAATTTGACGTCGTGTGTTTGTGTCGTGGTATTGTCTGTGAAAAACGCAGCTTGGAATCGCGGGAACTCGTGAGTCAGATGAAGAGAAACATTCACTGTGTCGAAGTTGATGTTATCGTTCGTGTGGGTTTCGGTGGATTCTATGGCGTTCTGGTTGCCCTCTCGTTCGCACAGTTCTACTTCAAGGTGTGTTGACCGGTTGAGATGATGCAGAATTTAGAATTTAGCACGTGTTCTTGGTTGATACTGCTGTCTGATTTATTTCTTTAGTTGTTTCGTGATTTTCCTTGCCAAGCGGGGCGAACCTAAATCTAAAACTCCTCTTTGTCTTTGAGGTTGGAAAGGAGCTTGTAGGAGTGTGTGGCCAAAGCCTCGTGGAGGACCCCAACACATTGAATGATATCCAAGGAGAGAACGCCTCGATTCACTGGTTTTTACCTTGCCTGAGAGCGTACTCATGATGATCAAGACTTTTTTTTCTCCCATCATTGGATTCTGTCGCCTGCCCCTCTGGCCCCTATCCTCCACTTCTACTAGCTAGACGACCCAACCGGGGTCACACAAGGGAGGGGGGGTTGGACCCCCTCCTGCGGTTCCTGCCTGAGATATTTTGATCGCGAGAAGGGTACAGCAAAGACTGTACACACCTAAATAAAGGCCGTGGAAACGCCGGTCGGTCCGGTGTCAAGTCTTCATTTACGGATTTATGGGGCATCACCAAAACAGTTCCTAACTTGTGACACTTCCGGTGGGACGCATGTGGCGGACGGACGTGGTGCGCCCCCATCAGATTTCACTTACCTGTCCGCCGAAGAAGAACATATTACAGAGGGGTGGTCAATCGACTCGCCGCCCGCGGGTAGGGTTACGGCTACTACTTTGGATTTGTTTTTTTCCTCGTGTCAGTTGCTAATCCCAAAATCTAGCAACGACTCGGTCCGTGGTCACAAAAATGCTAGAGCCATCAGAAGATCTAAAGAATTCGCACATATTAGCAAGAAAATGGTACACAAGCCCGAGGAGGTATACACCTACAACCCCTGCAGCACGTTTGCGTGCTCACAACTGAACTACACGCCCACACACTACCATTCGACTACAGCAGCAGCAACACCCCCCTTCCTTGTCTGCATTTAACCAAAATGAATGTTAATGTTTGTCGACTACAGCAGTTACTGCTTGCTTTCTGAAGTGTTGTCTTCACAATAATAGCACCATGGTGCATGGTACACACGCTCGGGGCATGCAGCTGCTGTCTGAAGTGCTTACGCGTCTATGAAATACCTTTCTCGCTGCTCATGTCATGTGTGTGTATGATGCATTGACTTACAAATATGCTCAGCAAGCAAACACCTTTTCACCGCCAGTAAAAGAAGACAACCCACATGGTACATCTGTCTCCTCAACCAAGGTTAGATTAGATATAGATCACGAGCCGATAAACTGATGACTGATGGATCGGGTGGGAAGCTCTGCCCGGCCGGTGCCTCCCTCATGGTGTGGTGTTCTACGTACATAAATGAACACGTCGTACTATATGTATGTCATGTCTATCCTTCGGGACCAAGGGCATCATCGTCGGAAGGCTGGCTGGATCATACGCAGGAACCGAGCGACGTTGATGATGATTCATTTGGAAACATAGCAAACAAAACAACGATTCTGTACGCATGTGCATGCAACAACGAACGATTGTTCAAGTAAAGGATGACCATGATTGACGGTCATGATCCATGATTGACGGTCATGATGTCTGGCTGCGTCGTTCATGGAAATAAATGAATATTCCATTTCAATTACTTCAATTTCCTCACCCGTCGGCGCAGCACATCACTGCCCCGATGGTCGAAGGTGTCCTCGAAGTGGGTATAATAATAGTCTTCTTTGCGTCTCAGCCAAGTACAAAGCACGCGGGCACATATCGCGCAATAAAGCGGGAGGCGGAACGGCCGCCACCAGCCACCAACAGGACAATAACCCGCTGCTTGGCGATGCTCGAAACAGACAAAACGGAGAAGAACGCGTGTGGCTGGCATGCACTCGTTTTTATTTTATGGATATTTATTGAGACAAATGGAACCCAGTGGTCGAATAGTCTCCTGTGCCGCTCTGTGTGTTTACACCAATCACCGTTAGCTTTGGCTAGAAGATTATATCTGTGTACCTTTGATACAAGCTCCCATAGTGCTCTGAACACCACCCGCCTTCTATGTGACACGTGTTCCCTTCGCGCATACACCTATGTACCAACTCTGGCACGCCCCGGATCTACCGGGCCCTCTGAAAACCATGGAAAAAATCCGAAGGAATACCCAGATGTGAAGACATTCAGAAATAAAGATCTCCCTTGGCGGATGAACTTTGGCTTCCTGAAAGTATCGTTGAGAACACCGTGGACGAAAATATAGAGCCGTTTGGCTGCGAGGAGATTATACAGACTTAAACTTCGTGTACGAACAACTTGTTGGGTCATGGGGAAAAAAGAGACGGGGCGGGGGAGAGAGAGAGGGAGAGGAAAAACAATTGTTATAGTTGGCACAACCACACCGCAGCTGCAACCAACACTTTTGTCGTCCTAAACATTTCAGCCCAAACGAGTGCATCACATCCGTCGTAGCTTTCCTTCCACCAGATAGAGCAGCGCCCGCCCACCCTGTACACGCCAACTTGCCACCGAACGTTGGGGATAGCGAAGTGTGCCCGATCTGACACGAACCGCCACGGGCAGGGAATTCGCTTTGTGGTGCCTGCTGTGGACCACCACCAACCAACAACGCCCGTTCCTTAACTGGCCACGGGGGCTGGACTGCACTGCACTGAACCGGCGCGCGGAGGGAAGTGCGCGCACGATGGCTGACGACCAGCAGTACCAGGATGAGAATCGCTCCGCCGCCAAGACTTTGTGGTTGGGCGACGTCCAGGTGGGTCGGATGTGACGGCACACAAGCTGTTGCAGTTAGTTGTTGTGTGGTTCAAAGGGATGTGGTTCGAAAAGCAGCGTGAGCAGCACACTGGAGAGGGCGAGGGTCGCGGTCCGTTTTTTGGTTGGGTTGCCCACCTACAAGTAAAACCTTTGCGGATATATGTGCAGGATACGCGATATGGGGCCGAGTCTCCGCTTGTCGGCGGCGGTGCAGCGGCGGGCAACGAGAGCCCTTCGTTGATTCCGCGAAGCACTCGTTTTACTCTTGGCCGGAGCTTTGCATAACCACAACATGCGTCATTTTTGTGCCCGCTCCTCCTGTGTGTGTTTTGTAACCCCGCCGCTTTCCCCCTTCTCTCCTGCTTGGTAACCGTGTCGCGTGGCAGCCGGACTGGACCGAGGAGTACGTCGAGAGTTTGTTTAGCGGTATTGGTGAGTTCGTTTTTTGTGTGCGGTGCCAGTCTGGGGATGGTGTGTCGTCGGAAGAAAGAACACATGAGCAGTGGATCCGCGGCGGGCTTCACCCGCCGGCGCCA